CTCCATTTCTTCAAGTACCGGTCTGATCCAAATTTCTTGGCACGCAACATAAGATCCCGCTATATATTCAGCTTCACATGATGATAATGCCACCACAGATTGCTTTTTCGAGGACTAAGAAATTGGGGCACCAAATACTTGAAAGAAATATCCAGTAGTGCTTATTCGATCTTCCTTATTTCCGCACCAGTCAGCATCTAAATAACAAGTAACCACAGCTTCTTTTCTTTTAGAGTCTCGTCGAAATAAAATTCCATAGTTTGTCAATCCTTTTAGTATCTCAAGATTCTTCTTCCAGCCTTCGTGTGTGACACCGTTGGTTCACTCATGTATCTACTCACTAATTCGATTGAGAAACATATATCAGGTCGACTATTGCACACATATCTTAGAGATCTGATAATCTGTTTGAACAAATTTGCATCGACTTTGTCTCCCTCTCCACGCTTCTCCATATTTAAATTTGGTTCGATAGGTGATGTTATAGTTGTCGAATCATCCATTTTGAATCTCTTGAGTATCTCTTTGACATACTTTCTTTGATGTAGCATCATGCCTTACTTCGATATTTGAAATTCCATGCCTAGGAAGTATGAAAATTTTCCCAGATCCGACATTTCAAATTCCTTCTTCATCAACTCTTTGAACTTTGACAAGTTTTTTAGGCTATTTCCAGTTACTAGCAAGTCATCAACATATAAGCAAATTATTGTTACATCTTGTGTCACTACTTGAACATAGACACCATACTCAGATTTGCATTTTATGAATCCCAATTCAACCAAGTATGAATTGATCTTCTTGTTCCATGCCCTAGGTGTCTGCTTGAGACCATAGAGCGCTTTGTGCAACTTGTATACTTTACCTTCTTCCTCCTGAATCACAAACCCAGGAGGTCGTGTGACATACACCTATTCTTCTAAAGATCCATTCAAAAATGATGATTTTACATATAAGTGAAATATTGACCAACCTTGATTACATGTCAAGGCCACCACTAGTCGAACAGTTTCCAATCTTGCGACAGATGCAAATACTTCAGAGTAGTCGAGTCCTGCTCTCTAGAGAAATCCTCGAGCTAAAAATATCACTTTATGCTTTGCTACCGACCCATTAGCATTGAGCTTCAACTTGAACACCCACTTTACCTCGATAGCTTTTGTATAGCCTGGCAATTTGACCAACTCCCATGTGTTGTTTCTTTCAATTGCTTGTAACTCTTCGACCATAGCAGACTTCTATTATTTATCTTTGAAGGCTTTGCTATAGTTAATTCGTTCAGCACTTGGAAGTAAATCAAAATGGACTAGTTCCCCATCTATTGTAACTTCATCATCACCAACTAACTACTTCATAGTCTTAAAGTCTTGTTGGACGAGCTCTAGTTCTTTGAGGTCTCTGACTTGTGCTAGCTATATCCTCTTCAACTTCGATATCATTACCTGCTTCAATGACTTCTTTGACTGGATTATCAACAATATCTTCGACTTCGACATCATTACTTACTTCGATGTCTTCTTCAAATGGAGTATCAACAATGTCTTCGACTTCGACATCATTATGTGCTTCGTCGAAATCATAGCTCATCAGTGGCTTGTCAATTTCATTACTAGAATTCCAATCCCACGCAGAATTTTCATTAATCACAATATCTCGACTCATCACAATCTTTTGATTAATTGGATTGAACAATATGTATGCTCCAGTCTTATGATATCCTACCGAAATCATAGGTCCACTCTTATCATCAAGCTTCCTTCTCTTAGCATCAGGAATATGCATGTAGAAAATAGACCCAAAGACCTTCACATGACTCACTGATGGTCGTTTGTCACTCCATACTTCTTCAAGAACCTAGTTCTTCAGCTTCTTAGTAGGGTACCTGTTCAAAATATAAACAACATTCGAAACAACTTTACCCCATAAGGATTTTGGCAAATTCTTCTGCTTCAGCATGCATCTTGCCATGTCCAATATGGTCATGTTTCTTCTTTCTGCTATTCCATAATGTTGAGGAGTATAAGAAGTCGTTATCTCATGATCAACACCATGTTCTACACAGAATGATTCAAACATCTTGGATGTGTATTCGCCACCTCCATCTGTTCGCAGAACTTTAATTTTATTTTCACCCTGGTTTTCGACAAGTATCTTGAATCTCTTAAAATTTTCAAATACTTCGTCCTTTTGCTTGATCACATAGATCTAGAGCTTTTGACTGTACTCATCAACAAATGAGACGAAATACATGTTTCCACCGATGGCAATCTCTTCAAAAGGACCACATACATCTGAATGTACAAATTCGAGTATGCAGGATGATCTCATTGGCATAGTCGAAACGAAAGACTTCCTAGACTGCTTTCCGACTAGACAACCTTCACAGAGTTTGTCAGGCATCTCAACACTTGGTATACCAGTTATCATACCGTGAGTGATCAGTTGATTTAATGACCTAAAGTTTAGATGGCCAAATCTTAGATGCCACAACCAACTATTCTTATGGTTGACAACTATTTTCAGACATTGTACTTCAGTCGAATTGATCATGGTCTTAAATATTCTATTCTTCGACAGAGGAGATTTCAAGACCAAGTTATTCTGAATGTCAAAATTTTCTAAGGCTCCATCTTTCATAACCACTGAGAACCCCTTTTCGACCAGTTGTCCAACACTTAGTAGATTGTACTTCATTCCATGGACATAGACTACATCTTTTATCAAGGCTTTTGCTCAATTACTCCTTTGAATAACCATGTTACCAGCACCTTCTACTGGCAACGGGCTATTATTAGCAAGTTTCACCTTACTCTTCTTTAACTCGTCGGAATCTACTAACCATGTCTTTTTACCCGTCATGTGATTCGAACAGTCTGAGTTGAGGAACCAAATCTTGGATTTGACATGGTAATCTGCAATTGCAACCATAACCATCATATCATTAGAATCATTTGAATCTTGACGTGCAAGATTCACTCCTTCGTCCTTGCCTTTTGTTGAACCCTTTTCTTTCCTGTATCAACAATGCTTGGCCAAGTGACCATACTTTTCACAATTATAGCACTGCATACCTCTTTTCTCTACTTTGTCTTTTTGATATGAATTTCCTTCTCCTCTTTTAGAGGATTCAAAAGTTCTATCATCGATCTTATTCTTGTGAGGATTCGACCAAGACTTTTTGCCCTGAGTCTTGTCGATTCTGCCTTTGAACTTGTTGGCACCACCATTCTTCTTCCATGATTGCGTCTTTAGTGCTTGTATCGAATCTTGAACTCCTTTCCTTTTGACAATCCTAATCTCATGTGCTTCCAACGAACCAATCAAATGTTCCAATTTTAGTGTTTCAAGATTATTAGATTCTTGAATAGTTATGATAACATGATCAAAGTGATAGGTTAACGTACATATTACCTTATCAACTATGAACTTATTAGTTAGGGTTTCACCACAACCTTTCATGAGATGGACGAGTTTCTGCACCTTCGACACATAACCTGCAATTTTTTCATCTTCTCCCATTGACTATAATTCATACTATCGTCGCAAAGTTTACAACTTAACAACCTTAACTTTCTCGCCTCCTTCATAGTACTTGACAAGAATATCCCATGCCTCCTTCACCGATTCAACAAGAGCAATTATGTCGAAGTTGTGTGCATCCACCGCCGGTTGAATATAAAACGCCGCCTTGCAATCCTTCTTCTTGGCATCCTTGTGAGGGATTCTCTGTGCTTCTATTGCATCTTCACCAAACTCATAAACACCATTAGTAACCACTTCTAAGGTTTCATGAAAGTCAAATAGAGATTGCATATGTTTTCTCTATCGAAGCCAATTCTTGTCGTCAAGAGTTGGAAGTAAGTTTGGTAAATTTATGTTACCATTCATCTTTGCAGCGATTTATCCGCAATAACCCACGATCCCGGAAACATGATCTCTGACGTGTGATTCTTGAAAACACGATCAAGAATCTAACGGAGCTCTAGATACCAATTTGTTTGTGTGTGAGACACTTTTGCGAGGAGAGAAAGAGAGAATAATGAAATAAGGATTTACTGAATTGTTATAAAATACAAATACAAACTATGACTATTTATATACACTCAAAATAACAAACTAAATAATAAACCTAATTGAGCTTAGACCAACCCAACTTGAATTATATCTAAATATTAAATCTAATCTAATTAAATCTAATATAATATTTCAAACACTTTCTACATAATTACGTTATGTATAGTAATAAAGGACTATTTTTTTTATGAAAAAGAGATTATCTTTTATATAGATGAAAAAGAACAAATATCATTATTTTAGAATTATCTGGTCAAAAATAACTATCTCTTATTTGAACAAAATATATAAATTTGCACAGTCAATAAAAATATTTTTAAAATTCCTAACATATTCTTAGGCACTAAAGGACCTTCTACTAAATTTGAATTAAAAATCCATTTATATTTTAACTTGTTCTATTTAATCAATATTTTAATTTGTTCTAATTTATTTATGATGAAAAAGAGTTTATTTCTTTATATATGATGAAAAAGAACTAATTTCATTACTTTATAAATATTTGGTAAAAAATGACTATCCATTATTTGAACAAAATATATAAATTTGCATAGTAAACAAAAATATTTTCAAAAGTTGCTAACATATTTTTAGATGAGAACCAAGATATGAAATAAATTGACATTCATTTACTTACTTATTTTTTCATATATTCTTTCTTTGAAATTAATTATCTCAAATATAGACAATAAAATCATTTAAGCATTGAGATAAACACAAATAGACAGTAAAATCATATAAAATTAAACCACATTTAAGAACTTAGACATTTTAGTTAAATTCTTTTTTTTTTATTTTACCAAATTTAAATTCAGTTTTTTAAATACCATTATATTTGTTTGAATCTTATCTATAAAAAGAGAGAAGATTAAACGATGATCCACACTAAGTCCTATTTTTTATTCATGATAATTGATTAAAAAACGATGAATCCATTCATTTTCATGTGTTTGGTGGCATGTATTAACGGGATGAGAATCCCATTGAAAGAGGACTTGGAAATAGAGAATGAGTTAAAAGTGATTAACAAAGTTCCTATCAAGAGTATCCATGTATTTCACATTCTTTTTACCTCACATTATTTTATTCTTTTAGTTGAACTTCTTCTTCTTCATAAATAAATAACCTAGCATTTGTTTGAATATGATTTTTATAGACAGAATTTGGTTATATTGTTGACTGCATTGATATTAATAATCAACCAGCGTTTAAGCATCCTTTGCTAACGAATCATAAGTTACAGGTATACATTCATTAGTTCTAATAAACACAAAATATCATGCATATTCATTTTATTAAATTTTTAAACTATTTTTATTGTTTTGATTATAGAAAAATCCAAACTTGAGAACTACAATCAGAAATAATAGAAAAAATAGTGTGAATAGTTCAACTAAAGCTACTTTTGGGCTTCAAAATGATAATTGTCCAATTGGAACTGTTCCCGTTAGAAGAGCAACGAAAGAAGATTTAATTAGAGGAAAATCATATTTTAATAATGGTTTAGTTGATCATATCCATGGTAATCATGTAAGTTTTTGTTTGTACATGTAAAATTTTAAATACTTATCATTATACTTACATTATTATAGTTGTATAAAAGTATTTTATTCGTAGTATGCAGAAGTTTTATCAGATGCAGAACGTGGTGAATCATTTGTAGGAGTTTATGGAACAACTAGTATTTATAGTGTTAGTGTTACAAATGATCAATCAAGTTCGGCAGTAATGTATATTCGAAATGGACCTGATAGTACAAATTATATCGGCATGGGATGGCATGTAAGTTATATATATATATATATATATATATATATATATATATATATATATATATATATATATATATATATATATATATATATATATATATGTCTTTTATTAAAAATTATTTTGAATGATTTATTAATTTGATATCCTGCATTGTTGTTAGGTGGCTCCACAATTATACAATGATAATGCAACACATTTTTACGTAGTATGGACGGTAAGAATTTTTTTGTTACGCTTTTATTTCTTATATGACAGTATAAATTCAAAAAGAAAATTTCCGACAAACTTGTGACTAGTAAAGTTTTACTATTTTGACACAGTCACTTATTGAACTATTACGTAATTGAAATATCTAAATAAGACATGTTTATTTGTAGTTTTTCTTTCATTATTTATTTTCATTAAATTTTAATTAGAAGAAAGTTTTATTTATACAATATATGATTTGGTTTTGAAAAATGATAGACAGATAATTTCAAGAACACGGGATGCTTTAATTTGCAATGTTCAGGATTTGTTCAAACTAACACGAAAAACTATCTTGGTGGACGATTTGTGGATACATCTGTCATCGATGGACAAATGATCGACATGACAATATCTATTGTCCAGGTTATCTCAGAAAATGAATGTGTTGAATTTTATACAATCAAATATTTTGAAATGTTTACAGAGAAGCTATGGTACATTCACTAATATAGTTTTTTATGTGCAGAATAGGGAAACAAAAAATTGGTGGGTAACTTTTGAAAATGATATGATTGGATATTTTCCGGCATCATTATTTCCCAACACGCCATTCCTTCAAGTAGGATGGGGTGGTAGAACATCAAACACTCAAGGTGGTCCTAGTCCTCCAATGGGTTCTGGACGGTTTCCTATAGATGACAAATATAATCATGCAAGTTATTTTATACGTATCCAATTTCAATATAGTTCCACCAACACTTCACCAGAAAATTCTTTGATTCAAATACTTTCTGATAAGCCTAATTGTTTTTATGCTAAATATTTTGATAGAAATTTTGAGGATTTCGGATATTCTCTCCAATTTGGAGGACCGGGAGGAAATTGTGATGATTAATTGTAAAAATTGAAGTATGAATACAAATTTAGTGGATTTGATGTTCAAATAAATTTATTTTACTGCTTTGTTTATTTTTAAGTTAATTTTGCCACAATTTGTTATTTAGTTTGCAAAAGAGTTATTACAATAATTTTTTCTCAAAAATAAATATTCTATTTCTAATTGGTAAAGACTCGCATATACCTATTTAAATGACAAGAGTTGAGGCATAAAAATTGAGATTTGTATGAAAATAATCAAATAAGCTAAATTTTATTTGAAAAAGAAAATTATTTTAAAATCTTGAACGTTGCTTGAAAATAAACAAATCAGGTAAAGTTTATTTAAAACAAAATAAAATTCTTTCAAAGTAAATAAATGACATGTATTATCACTTTATAATATTTTAAAAAAATAATTAGTATAATCTTACCAACTTTAACATATTTATTTTCCAATTTTCTCAAATAAATATTTCTAATATACGTGTCCTTTAAAAAAAAATCAAGATCAAGATTATAGAAAAAGTTACTTTTCCATTGCACTCTAGTATGGTCGAAGGGTAGCTTCTTATTCGACAGAAATTAAGCATGAGGTCAAAGTCTGTTCGCATGCTGTTGTCGGAGTAATGTGTGTTGTAGTCGAATTATGTTCTAACATGCATTAATCAATATTGATAGGGTTGTTAGCATGTTGAATTGGGCATTGTTTGTAAGCTCAATTGCTTAAGTTAGCTTGTAATGAGTAATTGTTAAAAAACTCATTAGGTTAGTGTGTTATTTTTTTCTTATAAATAGGATGTTAGTTTCTCAATCTTGGCATAAGAAAAAATAGGAACATAAAATCCTAATTTCAAGAGAGACAAAGGTTATTTTATTATTCTTGTATACTTGTAATCTTGTTCTAAGACACTGCGCCAGAATTAACTTTTAGCAGCGCATTCAAAGACAACGCTTTTTGAAAAAGCGCTGCTATTTTGAAAAAGCGCTGCTAAAGAGTCATTAAAAAAAAGAAAAAAAAATAGCCTACCATAGACAGCGCTTTTTAAAAAGCGCTGCTAAAGGGGGTCCTAAGAAAGCGCTTTTTAAAAAGCGCTGCTAAATGTATGACCTAAGAAAGCGCTTTTGTAAAGCGCTGCTAAAGGGGGGGGGGGGGGGTTCTATTAAAGCGCTGCTATAGGTTTAACCTACGAGAGCGCTTTTTCTGTAAGCGCTACTAAAGGGTATACCTAAGAAAGCGCTGCTATATGTGAAGCCTAAGCCACACCTTAGACAGCGCTTTTTAAAAGCGCTGCTAAAGCCATTAAAAAGCGCTGCTATAGGTATAATTAAAATAAATTTAAACTACCCACCAGAATTTTTAAAAGAAACATAACAGTCGTGCATGTTTCTTTCTTCTTTCTCCTCTGGCGAACATTTTCATCCGTAACCTAACCACCGTTTCCGTCGAGCTCCTCCGTCCAACCGTCGTCGGCTGTCATTCTCCTTCGTCATTCCGTCTGCAACTACAAGGTAATCACGTTATTTTGTTTTGTAATGGTGTTCTTGTCATTCCTCTGCTTTTATCCGTCTGATATGAATATGAGAAAATGAGAAAAACATTGTTCTCTTTTTCTCTCACTTAAGTGCATTCTAAGTGTTTGATAAAATACCTCTTAGTATATAGATGGTGTTGTAGTGTTGGTGTAAGAAAAACTCTGTTTTAGTATATAGATGGTGAAATTTTGTTTTAGTTTTTAGAAAATGCATGAAGATTTCTTATTTAAGCTTGTATATTGATGGTGAAATTCTGTTGAGGACAATGATACAAAAGAAGAAAGATACGAGATCCCAATACCTTCTTTCAAACCCAATAATAATAAAAAGTGAACTATAAGTGATAGTAACCAAGAAAGTGGGAGGAAATAGAAAATGGAGAGATTAGGAATCATTTTTAATCTTGATTATTGTTGGTTATGTTAATTGGTTGAAATAAGTGTGTTGGTTAAACAATATTATTGTTTTAGTAAAAGGATTGTTAGAATTAAGTTGGACATAGTTATGAATTGTTGAAATATTTTTAAAATTGTGTTTTAACCCATAAGAGTGAAAACCTTGTGATAACCTAAGTGATTTAACATTAAATGATTTAACATTAAGTCTGAGAGGTATACTTATAGTTATAATCAGCTTGTAGCCCGTTTTATGGTATTAATTTTGTACTTTGGTTTTTCTGAATTACAGGTATTATGACCACCAACGAGGAAACATCACATGATGGAAACGAAACAACAAAAGACGTGGAAGGCGATATTAAAAGAAGAATAACGATCATGAAAAAAATCTTCCGTGCGAGAGATAAAGGTGTAAAGTATGATGTACATTGGAATGAAAGAGATCAGTTAGTTGAGCCTAACGGTGCGTTGCTGACAAGTTACATTGGAGCACTTGTACGTTCGCAAGTTCCAATTACTTGCGATAATTGGAGAATTCCTTCGTTAAAACTGGCTAAAGATAAAATTTGGAGCGAGATACAGGTATGATATTTGGTTATTTTTAATTATGTTGACGATTACATTTTTAAATTAATTATACTAACATGTTATATATATGTGTATTTGTTTGCAGAGATCTTTTAATATTGATGATCGCAGGAGAAAATATTGTCTTCAATTGGCCGGAAAACGACTGAGGGGATTTAGAGCGTTTTTAAAGAACAAGTTTCTTAAAAATTCTGATGAAAACTTTGTCGACTCGGAGCGTCCAATGAAGTACGCTGATCTGATTTCAGATGAAGAATGGGAGACATTTGTTGCCAAACGAAGAACCAAAGAATTTGAAGTAAGTACAACTTATCATGAATAATGTATAATATATATACTTCTTCCACAAGAGTTCTGATATGACTTAAACTTGTTTTTTCAGGTTGTGAGTGACACCAATCGGCAACGGGCGTCAAAACCCACGTATCCATACAAAAAAGGGTGTTTGGGATATGCACTCCTAGAACAAAAAATAGTAAGTACATATAAATGCTTTAATATGATATATTTACAAAATATAGTAAGTATATATAATAGGATATAATGCTTTATTATCCGTCTTAATGCGTAGTTAGAAGAGGAGAAAAGTGATGTGACATCTCTTCCGAACCATGTTGTATGGAAGGCTGCCCGTGTGGGAAAAGATGAAGTCGTTCAAGAAGAAGTTCAACAAGTATTTGAACAATGTGTAAGTACAACATTAGCTTTATCAGCAACTGATCAAAAGTGTATAATATATTTATATATGCTTTTGTCTATATTTCAGGAGACTCTATCAAAGACTATAACTCCAACCGAGGACGATGATTGCAGGAGCTTACTGAGTCGAGTGTTAAATTTTCTTAATTGACACATTAATCAGCATCATTATTTGTTTAGGACATTTCACCTTGTCGGCTATATTTATCGTCACCGACTTATCACATGGTTGGCAAGGGAAAGGTGCATAACAATGTGGGAGACTTACTTCACCATAAACCGCTCCTTGCTGGATTTTTGAAAGTATCGGTTGATATTGCATTAGAGGGGGATGCGTTATTTCCTATACCAGATGATGTTTCAGACGCAACAGTGGTGGGAGACGCAATAGGAGCGTATGTTGCATGGCCGACAAATCTCATTTTTATAGATGATGAGGTAGGTTGAACACCATTATGAACCTTGTAATATTCAAATGTTTTATGACCCATACATGAAAGTTATTCTTACATTTACATTTTCTTATTTACATGATGATCTTAGACTCCTACAAAATCCAAATCAAAAGATGATAGAATTATTGTGCGGGATACCAATTCACCTGCATCAAAGAAACAGGTACTACAACAGTTACATGATTATCTTATTATACATTAATTACTGAACTTATATATGACCTTTAGGTTCATGATCAGCAGCTGCAACAAGTCAGCAAGGGTAAGATGCCTGAATCTTCCAAGGTGCCCAACAAAAAAAAGGTCGATCCAAAAAAAGCATTTGTTCCTCGATTTAGGATGTGCCTTGAAACATATGTAGGAACAAAAAATGTGACTGAGGGTGGCATCCGTCAAATACCTATGGATAAAGGTATTTTCGGGTTTGAATATGCCGAAACAATTGCTAAGGAGGATTTTGACCAGGTTTCCCAACATTCTGAATTGGGCATCAGTGTTATGCATTCCTACATCAGGTACTCCGATCCATTTTAATTAAATAATTGAACATTTTAAAATTTGCTCATTTAACTGAATATTCTAATGTTGATTATGTTTTTTTTAGGTTCTTGTATGACAATTTGTTGGTCCCGAATGATTTGACTTCAATATTCGCATTCTTATCTGCTAGCTGTATCAACTCACGGACAATAGATCATACACCAGATGTAGTCAAAGATTACACAGTCTAAAGATTTATGGCCGCGACTACAGAGAAGTTGTTCTTGTTGCCATATAATACTGGCCATGGGTTAGATTTTATTCTAAATTCATTTATTATAATTATTCGATTTTTGTCATTCTATATAACATTTTCGTATAAACTATTGTCTTATTTTATAGTGGACACTGGTTGTTGGTCGCGATTAATCCGATGAAAGAAATAGTGTATTATATAGATTCATTGGATGGCGATACAACAAAATATCCTGATCTGAAGAACATGGTTGATACGTAAGTGATGAGATATACTGTTCTGAATAATTATATATCTTTATTTATTATGTGACATTGTTCTAAATATGCGTTTATATTATGTTAGAGTTATAAAAATGTTCAGAGCACAAAGAGATGCAACAGTGCGAAAAAGCAAGGCTAACAACATCAGTTAGATCAGAGTGGAGGTATATTTTCCCATGTTTGACTGTTATAGTGGTTCTACTTGATAAAACTATTTAAACTATATATCCTGATAAATGTTCATTTGTTTTTTCCATTTACAGTGTCCTCGTCAGTGCAATGGGATTGATTGCGGATATTTTGTATTGCGCTTTATCAAAGAAATTATTCTTTCTGGTCAAATA